TAGGGATCAAGCTGCTACACAATTTTCACCAATTCTTTACTGAAGAGGAGAAATATACTTTCTTGTTTGCATAATCTGAGGTTTATTTGTAAAAGTTAGCCCCTGTAAATCTACCTTGAAGTGCATGAGAAAACAAGAGGGATTAATGCACTGAAAGATGAGTAGATGGATAGATATGGAAAGGATGAAGTTGAAATTTAGGTGATGGCTATAGAGATGTTCACTGTAAAATTCTTTCAACATTGCTGTCTTTTTGCTAAGTTTCATAAATCATGTTGAGAAAGAACAAGTACATTCTGAGTATAGTCCTGCTCTCAATAGAGTTGAAGTTCAATCTCCTAAACTTTCTGCATCTTTAGGGTTGGTGACTAGCAGGGACACCATCAAGAAAGTCCTTTATTATATACCATTTAAGCAATAAATGGTGCACTTATATTCGGCATTGTTTCCAACAGTAAGAATTGTGCACTCACATGGTTAACCAGAAGTTTGGACAATTAGAACCCCTGGCTCTCTACTATCCCTCCAGCCTGAGATGTGCATGCTGCGCCTAGGGGATTTAATACAGTCAGACAAGGAAGATGACTCTTGGTGTTACTTGTTGTAACAGGATAATTTATTTTTTCACTTGTGACTCATAAGCCTCTCATCTGGGGAAAAGTGCTCCTGTCATTGTTACAATGATTCAGTATCGTTCCATCCTCTGCGTCTGTGTGACTCTATGGTCTCTCTTGCTTTTGGTGAGTCTAGCATGGGAGAAACCCTCATTATAATAACAACAACAATAACCAGCATCTGAATGAGTGTTCCTGGCTTATGAAACGATTCCATTTGCCTTACTTCATTTGATTGTCCCAACCATGCTATGATGCATAGAGGCCAGATAATATCATACCCAATACCTATAATACAGATTGCGGTATGAAGTGTATAAATGATCTAGTCAATTTCATCGTAGGGTGTTAAGTGAAGGAGCTGAAATAAGAATCTGGGGTCCTGACTTCCAATCCAGTCACCCTTACTTAATGCCCAACTGAAACTGCATGCAATTTCTCACAGCCTAATTCTGCTAAGAGGAGTGAGGCTTAGAGGAAACAGGGTTCAGGGATGGCCTCATGAAGATAGTCTGGGGGAAGGCGAATTTCCCTTGGGTTGAATTCATGCTAAGTCACCACAAAATCTCAAATCCATTTCTTCATCCTGTTCTTCCATGTTTAATGCAGTGTCTGTCCTGTCTGGGAGTTTAAATCACACCTTGACTACTCCCAAGTGAAATCTCTCTGAGCTGGATACTCTTTTAGGATTGCTGAGTAGAAGTTAGTCAACAGGGACTCTTTCTAAGTTTCTGCTGTGCCTGTCATGTGCTCCTCCCACCTTCCCCTCCCCAGGCACCTGTTCTCACTGAGGTGGAAAGATAACTACCTTAATGCTTATTCTTTCAGCTTCTAGGAAGCCATTAGAGATATTCCAGAAATACCAACTGCCCATGTCTTCTAATGCCTCTTAATTCCCCTTTACTTCGAATTTCCTGGCATGGAAATTAATGAGTGTTGACTATGGAGTCAGACATCACTGGGTCTGAACCTCTACTCCATCATTTTCTACCTGTGACATCAAGCAAGTTGCTTGGCCTCCCTAAGCCCCAAGTTTTTCATCTATGAAATGAGATTAATTATAGGACTTGCCCCGTGTGGCTATTATGAGGATTAAATGGAATAATACCCATGAAGTATGTAGCTCAGTACATGTAGCTTGTTAGATGCTCTTAAGTGCTAGTAAGAATTTTAATACTTCAGAGTTAGAATATAGAAATTATTTTCATAAATTTGATAAAATTTTCCTTCATATCTAACCAGAAAAATTACATTCACATACATCTATTCCTTCCTTCCTTTCTTTCCTTCTTTCCTTCCTCTCTTCCTTCCTTTCTTCCTCCCTCCCTCCCACCCTCCCTTCTTTGCTTCCTTCCTTCCTTCTTTCCTTACGTACATCTTTATTGAGTGTCTCTAACATGTCAGGCAATCCCTAATGTGAAGGAAATTGTTGTTCGAGTGGAGGACAAATTAGTTAAGGAATCACACAAATGAATGTAAAATTATACCTGTAGTAAGTGCTACACAGCATATCACAGGAGAAAGCTTGACTCAGTGGGGAAGATGCCCTGGGGACATGATAATGGTGCTGAGATCTGCAGGTGAGTACCAGCTAACCAAGTGACAAGGAGTGGGGGCAGGGAAGATGACAGAGCTGTTCAGATACTGGGTTCAGGTGTCAAGACCCTGTGGCAAAAGAGAGTGTGACAAATTGAAAGAAGGCATTGGGGCGATGCAGAGGGCCCAAGGGCCAGAGTGGTACAAGGTGAGCAGAGTGCATAGGGAAGGGCCAATGCAGGCAAACTCTGTCAGCAATCTTCAAGGTTGGTCCATCCAGAGCTATGGCGATCCATTGAAGAGTTTCAGGTAGGGTTGTGACATAACTCTCAGGAGTCATTTAGTTTAAAGAGGCAGAAGCCTGGCTGATTAAGCTACCTTCATTCATACAGCCATAGAGCAGAGCCCTATAGTACAGAGGGCAGAAATGAAATGACCTGTAGTATGGTGATTATCCAGATTCTAACTCAGTGGTCAGTGCTCTGGGAAGTTGTGAAAGTAACAGACCTTGGTTCTCCTCCTCTGGGAGGATTATTGAACCAGCAATAGAAATACAGTCACATGCCTCACCAAGTGTAAATACCAGTCACCACAGGGTGATAGAGAGAAATCAGTTGAGATGTTGAACTCAGGAAAGTGACTATTTTATTGATTAGCACAAAACAAGTTAAAATTTACTCCATCATGAATTTTTATTCTTACCTAGCACCTTTTTGGACTGATTTCACATATTTCCCCTACGTAATCTGTTTGTCTCCCAAGTTTCTTTAGTTCCACATAACCTGCTCTGTTTGGGGATCTACAAAGTCAGTTAATTTAGACACTGAGGGAGGAATACCTTTGAGGTGGTAAGGTTGTCCAGGGAGAGGTCTGGTTGATATTCCTAGTGACCAGGAGAAAAATGATGCTTGAGCATCTCTGGGAGTTAGACCAGATGAGACAAAGAAAACCAACCACTGTACCCCACTCCCACTGGCAACGCTGATTTCAGGCAAGACAAATCATCTGTAGATCTACTAGCAGAAGGAATCTGGGCTCTTGCCAGATCCATCCAGGGCTTATACAGCCATGCATCACTTAATGAAGGGGATACGTTCTGAGAATTTAGACAATTTCATTAGGCAATTTCATCTCTGTGCGAACATCATAGAGTGTACTTACACAAACCCAGATGGTATAGCCTACTACACACCTAGGCTATGTGGCACAGCCTATTTCATCTAGGCAACATGATGTGTGTGAAGCTGTTGCTGGTGTAACATGGCATACCGTTTTACAGTAAGCTTTTTTTTTAAATAAGTAGAAAGAATATAACTAAAATAATAATAAAATGTGTAGTATAGTAGTTACATAAACCAGTAACATAGTCATTCATTTTTGTTATCAAGTAGTATGTACTGTACATAATTGTACGTGCTATACTTTTATATGACTGGCAGTGCATTAGGTTTGTTTACACCACCATCACCTCAAACACATGAGTAACATGTTGGGCTACAATTTTATGACAGCTATGACATCACCAGGTGACGTGAGTTTTTCAGCTCCATTGTAATTTCATAGGGCTACTGTCACGTGCAGTCTGTATTTGACTGAAACATCATTAGGTAGTGCCTGGCTGTATTATGAGAATCATGAAGTTAAGGAAGCAGTCTTTTCTCTCATTCCCTGCCCAATTTCTCTATTTGATATTTTTATTTGATATTATTACCATTTCAATGCCCAATTCTCCCAGGCAACCTGTTGTTTTGTTCACTTTGACATGCATGGCTAACACTCCAGGACTGGTGAGTAATTTAATGTGTTGTCATTCCTTGCTCCACCTTGTACCACTCTGACCCTTTTGATCTCTGCCTCAGCCCCAGTGGCTTCTTTCAAGTCATCAAACTCCCTCTGCCACAGGTCCTTTGCTCCTGAACCCAAGGATTTAATCATGAAACAAACAAAAGGGTATTTTGCAGGGTTTAGAGTAAGGGAAGGAAATGCTTCCTGGTAGAATATCGGACCGCAGATAAACCCATAATGCTGACTCGCTTGGAGCTGATGATGAAAGCCTGTGTGTTTGTGCTTTCCCTCCCTGCAGCTGAGGTCAGCTATAACATGCCCCCATGAACAGATGCGCAAAAGCACAGACACTAGAAATCAGTATAGTACTGAGAATGTCCACTCATCCTTCTAGCATTGAAACTTTCTCATCCTAAGACGTGCTTAATTCGATGCCAAGTTTGAAAAATGCCTTGTCACGTCCTTGGGTCTACATTATAGAAAACAAGTCTCTTTCTTTCATTAGGATCACCCAATACTGAGGTACGGTAGTTTTGATCTGGTGGGTAGAGATTACGTAAACAAATCTTACACTCAGGGACAGTCTGTTCTTTAGCAGAACACCAGTCAACTTTAAATATTGAAACTTAACCTGTTTGATCAGTTGCTATTGGGCCTGGATGTAGAAGGCTCCTTTAGAGGTCTTATTATTTGGAAACAAAATACATATTTACATGTTCATTACACACATGCATGTACAACAATGAAAATCTAAAGTGAATATTGAAATATTTAAAGAGATTTTAATGTTTATTATAGTCAATTTTTAAACAAAAAGCGTTTCACACATTTGAAAGAGGAATAAGCAAAAATTTGTACCTCGATGGGAACTTCTTACATACATTATTCTCTTCGAAGAGCACTTGCACTGTTTTCCAAAGTACCCCATTAGAGGTCTCTCCTTAGGCCCACTTCTGCCTATGCCCTCTTCATCAGGAAAGCTTTTACCTGGTTCCTGAACTTATGCCCAGTGACCGAGATAATGTGACTAAGCTATACTGGTAGAACTAAGTTCAAGATCCTATCGAACAAATGAAAACACTGGCTCCCACTTCCCTTTTGTCACCCTGGCCAAGGCCGTCTTGTGTTTCCTCTGGTTCTTATTTGCAGAGGAAAATCTTCAGAGAAGGGGTCATCATGTGTCCTCAACACTCACAGTCCTGGCACACTCAGGTATGCCAATGGTGCTCACAGTTAACCAGGAAAGAACTCTTGTACATTCACCAACCCCCTTTAGAGATGTAATGACATGCATATTAAGTCTGACACTCTGCATCATGTTTCCATGTTTCATAGTAAGCATCCATCCAGAGGGCTGCAGACTTCTTCAAGGCCCTGTGGGAGAGGTAAACAAAATCACCATGAAGTGAGACTCTAATGTAAAAGGAGCTACTCTGTGGATCTGTTGCTCTTTTACCTGGTTCAGGGCAACGCTGTCATTTTCAACTCTACCGGCAAAATGTCTTTCTCTGTTGCCCAGTAGAAGGAGTCAAATACACTGAATTGCTTTTTTTAGCAGGTGAGTTCACCTTTCCTTTATGGAGCAGAAATTTCATTTTATTCTCTTTATTCTTTATCCAATAATTATTGAATTATTCACTCAATAATTTCATTTTATTCTCTTCTGTACTGCAAATCATCACCTATCATTTTCTCTAGTATTTAAATAAAAGCTCCTCTGAGTCACTATAAGATAGGCATACACTCATAAACTACTCCATCCTATAGCCACCTCCCCATCCTATTTTATAATGTGAAAGATATTTTTCTAGGCTCTGGGGATATAGCAATGTGTAGGACAGATGTGAGTCTTGTCCACATGGAATTCCTGGTTTAGCTTGGGAGACATATATTGAAAAGTTTATTACCCAATATGTTATTTAATCATGATTGTGATAAAGGTCTTGAATAAAGAGATCCAGGTGCTGAAATAGCACACGATGGAATTAGTCTTGGGAACCAGGAAAGACTGAGATGTGGAAAAGGCATTTGACATTAGCCTTGGAGATTGAATGGAAGTTGACCAAGTGATATGAGGGCAGGTGGTGGGTCTGAAGAGCGTTCTAGGCAGACGGAAATGCGGCAAAAGAAGTAAAATGGCCAGGGGCAACGGGTTTTGTAGCAACTGAAGGGAAGCCGGATATCTGGAGAGCAGAAAAGGAGGCGGAGAGTGATAAAGAGTCTGAATCTGGACCACTAATCAGGGATGAGATCAGACTGGGCCTGGCCTTGTTGGCCTTATTCAAGACCCTGTGGTTTTTTTTTCCTCAATCTTATAAGAAAGTTATTCAACCCAGATCACTAGCCGTTAATTTGACCAGCACAATGTTCTCTAGCAAATTGTGAATGCTTCGGGATGAGTATGGATTTTCAGTTTCCGCAGGCCTCACCACTCTTGATCAGTCAGTCCTGGGATCAGTTATAGGGGATCAGTCACCTCTGCCTGATTCACACTATTTGCAGGTATCTAAGTTTGTAACCCTGGATCACATAATTTGAGAGTCCCTTTCACCACTTAAATCTAAAGTAGGTAGAGGTTCTGTAGAGGATACAAAGACAAATAATACAGAGCCCTGATTTTACGAAGCTTGAAACTTAGTAGGGCAGCAAGGAATTTTCACTAAAATGTACCTAGAATGCAGTAGGTAAAAAGTAAGGATTGTTATTATCATTGCTGTTGTAGATGTTATTCCCTATAGAGTCTCATGTCCATCCTAGGCATAGAGATGCTCCTTAATGAATGGTTGTTGGGTGAATGATTCAAAGGCAGGGAAGAGTCTGAGCACAGGCAGCAAAGGGAAATACGAGCTATGAGTTGAGAGAGGCTCTGTTATTACCTGCCAATATCTCCAAATGCCTCCAACAAGGGTTTATTCACATACTGCAATCCATGCTTGGCACACAGTGACCTCACCAGCGGTGCCACCTTGTGATAATTATGGCGCGGCATTGTGGGGAACAGACTAGGGCAACAGAGATGGGAGATAAAAAATTTGGACCTGAAGTGAAATCTGAAGGAGAGTTGTCTTTCCCCTATTACTAAATAAAGTTATACCAGCACTGCAGACCCAACCTTGACCTTGCACAGTACTTCTGTTCTGGGAAGTTCAAAAATTCTTGCCAAGACCCTCTCATTTTATCACTTAATCCTCTGTGATCCCTGTTCATGGCAAATGTTTAGGAAGAGGTAAGAGAATAAATATTAGCTGCATTGAAAATGTTGATTTTTGGCCAGGTCAAATGAAAGTATGTGGTTTTCTACCATTTTGAATGACCTAGAGAATTGGAGATATCCAACCTCCATCTCTGTCTCTGTTTCTCTCTATCCATCTAACTCCTGCACCATGAATAGATGAGTATTCAGTAAGCTCTAGTCATGATATATGGGTAAAAGTCCTAAGAAAGGAGTAAGAAATGAGAAATAAGAAGTGCATTTTCACCCAAGGTTTTCACTAAACACCAGATGACCTTCTTAGGTTTAAACCTCCTCCTTGGCAAAATATGAATAACAATCCTTTCTTTTCTTGATGATATTTTAAAGGACTAATGTGAGAGAAATGATTAGAAAATATCATGAGTAGACAGAAGATCTCTTTCTGTCTCTGACTATCAAAGATAAGGCTTAGACAAAGAGGATGTGGAAAGTCCCTCCCCTGAATTCTCCGGAGAGAGTGACTCTTCAAGTATTATCTTTTTCTCTTTGTTTAGGGCATGTCAACCTAACCAACCCATGGGTAAATTATTTCCAGATGTTATTTCGAAATTTCAGCAGGGATTGGATTCTATTACTGATTATTTTGTAAACTTGGCTCTAAGGCTACATAGATAGATAATCAATTAAACTGTAATTCAGCTTCAACACAACTTAGTTACCCAAGCAGCATAATTTTTTCTGCATTTTGCCAACAAACCAAGTGCAAAGAAAACAATAGCCAATTCCTAAGCCCATAGGAATCTGGAAACTGAAACACTGGTACTTTTCTAAGATTTCACTCCATTTACTCACAATTGTTATACCTCCTTCTTTTCTTTCTTCCTTTTCTACCATTGATGTTAATGGAAAGATAGCAGCCTTTAGAGAATTCTGGTTCATTTTTTCCCTCTGAGATCCAAAGCCTATGGCTCTGCTGTGGACTGTATAGTGGGGGGGGGGAGAGGGCTGTTACAAGTGAAAGTTCTTGCCCCTATGTTCACTACTATCACTGTTTCTATCACTCACTGGTGCTCGATTTGGAAGTTCAGGTGCCCAGTGAACCAGTCATTGAAAATGGACTGTTCCACATTACAGGTGGCCAAGACCTGTAAAGAGAAAGCTTACATTAGAGGTAAATGAGCCCAGGTGTCAAACAGAAAATGTTTATTCTTTTAATCAATCATTCAACGAGTGCTTTTTGAGTACCTATTTTGTGTAAGAAACTATGAGGGATAGAAAAGATACAGAGTCCCAGGTCTCAAAGAGCTTACAATTTAAAGAGGCAAGAAGACATTTTACTAAGAAGTCTATACAAGGTAATAGATATGAAAAAGTATGCAGGATTTGAGGGGGATAAGTCGCTATCAGCCCTTGGATACAGAAGACGAATGTGTCGTGAATGAAGACTTTGGAAGATGGAAGTGGGATTGTAAGATTCTGGTAGAGATTGTAGGGGTTAGAATACCATATCCATCGAGTAGACTTGAAGGACTTCTAAATTGGGAGTAAGGCATTCAATTATTTTGTGCATAGATTTGCATTCCAATATAAGTAGCTTCTTTTGTAATCTAATGTATTTTATTTTATGTACTTGAAAAACATTATTCTGAGAAGGAGTTCATAGGCTTCTCCAGACTGCCAAGATTAAGAAGTCATAAATATCATTTTATTCAATGCCTTTCTTGGATTTAATTCCAGTTTCTTGTTGCTATTTTGAAGGCTATTTTTTGTGGTTGTTTTACGTCAATTTTTCCCAAAGTATACTTCAGAAAAACTCGGGGTTCCCTTGGATTCTTTTAGGGGATCTGCCATTTCTAAACTACTTCTGTAATTCTTCTAAGACATTATTTGCCTTTTTCATTCTCATTCTCTCATCCATGCACAGTGGATTTTTCCAGAAGTTACTAAACGTGGGGTGGCATCGTGACTCTGATATTTACATACATTGGTTTTGCTCTTATTTTAAAATTAATTAAAATTTTAAAATTTCTCAGTTTTAATTTCAAATACAGTAAATAACAATGGATATAACCTATGCAAACAAAAGCTCTTTGAGGTTCTCAGTAACTTTTAAGAATGTAAAGTGGTTCTGTCACCAAAAGGTTTGAGAACCACTACTCTATGCTCCAAGGAAGGTCCAGTGAGTTTGGGAATGAGCTTGGAGAAGGAAGCAGGATAATGACTGAATTCCAGAGTTACTCACGGCATGGCCAATGAAAGCCTTAGGAGGCAAGATTGTTCTACATTAGTTACAACTCTGTTAATCATTAGCAGCATGTTTGGAGAGCATGTCATGTCTTCTCTCTGGGCCTCTCTATTTACACAATGAAATGAGGTGAATTCTAGGGTCCTTCTAGGTATAAAATTGATTCTGTAACTCTGGGAGTCTCAGATTCACTTGAAAGGCTGTGTCATGTGGAGGTTTAAAGCAGGGCTCAGTAAATTTTTTCTATAAAGTGCCAGAGACTAAATGTTTTAATTCGTTGTCAGAGCTACTCAATCCTGCTGTCATAGCACAAAAGCAGTCATACATAATATGTAAATGAATGAGCATGGCTGTGTTCCAAGAAAATTTTCTTTATGAAAACAGGCAGTGATGCCAGCCCCGTGGCATAGTGGTTAAGTCTGATGTGCTCTGTTTTGGGGGCCCAGGTCTGCTGCTTTGGAACCCGGGCACAGACATACACCACTCGTCAGTGGCCATGCTGTGGCAGTGACCCACATACAAAATAGAGGAAGATTGACACATATGTTAGCTCAGGGTGAATCTTGCTCAAGCAAAAAGGAGAAGATTGGGAACAGCTGTTAGCCCAAGGTGAATCTTTCTCAACAAGAGCACAAAAGAAAACAGGCAGTGGGCTGGATTTGGCCCTGGGACTGAAACGTATTGACCCTCGGTTTAGAGCAAAGCTCTGAAATCAAACTTCTTAGGTTAAGACATGCTTCTACCACTTGTTAGCTGTGTGACTTTATGCAAGTTACTCAACTTCTTCATGCCTCAATTTTATCATCTGTAAAATGGGTATAACCATAGAACCTACCTCATGTAGTTACATGCAGAGCAGCTGACAGTGCCTGTCCTCTGGCAAGCATTCAATAACTATGAATTATTGTTATTTGACATAACCAGACTCTAAATCAGTACGGTTTGAAGTATCCTCTTCCAGTAACTCCACTATTACCTGAGTGCTGAGCCAGTCCTGGTTCTCTTCTCTGCTCATTTTCATTGGTATGTGGCTCATCTGGGTAACAAATACGATCCAGGGACTTTCAAGAGACCTTTCAGAGAATAAAAAGAGGAAGTGATACTCCTTGGGGTGCTTTGGTTCCAAACACTGGGCTGAAAGGGCTGGCTGAGCATTGGAGGAAATGGAAGAGACTCACAAGTTCTAAATTTGTGGTCATTTGTTTTCCTCCTTGGAGGCCCTTTATATCTAAAGATGACCCTCTAGGCATTTGGTCACGTAGCCTGCCTTGCTGCCTAAAGAGCGGCAACAGTACCACCAAAAGTTTGCTGTAGGATTGGTGTAAGTATCAAAAGAAGCTAGGGAACTTCAGGGCATATGCAAAGTGATTGACAGCCTGGGATTTGTCATCAGATAGAGCTGGGTTCCAACTTCTGGTTTGGCACTGCCTTTATTTGCTCTGTAACCTTGGGCAAGTGATTTAATCTCTCTGACTTTGATTTTGGGAAAATTTCCAGTCATAAAATAACTTTAAAAAATTCCTGTCCTTCCACTATCTTTGGCAAGGAGGATGATGTCCTACCGGATTATAATTTTAAGCACTTGGTGACCAGATGGAAAATTGCAATTGTGAATGAAGTAAGTGGACAAAAAAGAGAAGAGTGGGTAAATTTTTTTTCCAAGGAGCTCTTTTTATTCAATTATTCTGACTATTTTTTTCACATTTTCTTGGAAATGTCTCATTTATAGAGAATGGATCATAGTGTCATAATCTTCTGCTAATCACAAATAGATTAGATAAGGAAGGTAAGTGGACCATCCGGGTTATGGGAATATGAGGATTTTCTTGATTTCTTACTTGACTAAATATATGAGGCACATGGTTCCAAAGATTCCATAGAAAGGGCTAAATGTGATGAAATAGCGGATGTAAAAACTGCAGACCCAGGCAAAATCCTGCAGAGAGAAGTGCTTGAAAGTTAGATGCCCTGAACACAATTTCATTTTCCCTTCTTTGGGCCTAGTGTCCCTTCATGTACTGGCTAAATCTTATGTCCTGTTATTCAAGGAAGCTATATCTGGAAAGGATCAAGCATTTTTATTTCCCATTTTCTACCTGATCTAGCTTCAGAGAATGAGTCAAGTACTCACCCCCCAAAACCTTCGGATGTACATCACTCGCATGGATTCCATGTTGGCATATATAGGCATGAAGAATGGAAGCACAACTGAAGAAGAACAAAAGAAAAGATGGTGAATAAATGAGCAGATTGTAACCTCACATCAGCAGGAGTCTATCTCCTTCCCATGCCACCCTTGGAATGTTGCCCCTGAGAAGGGATGCAAGGTGGAGTTCCACAACCACATCCTCGAGTCCACTGGGCTTTTTGAGTCTCTGAGGCTGAACTACGAATTTAGTTCAAGCTCCCTTAGGAGCCTGGAGAAGCTGTGAAGGTTTCAGTCATTCTTGATGCAAGCATCCTGGAAGAGCTTCTGCTGTGAGCCCTCATGTTTTCTCAAGGTCCATGGAATCCTTGAGTCCTTTCACAATTTTTCGGATTTGGCCCTGTCACAATATGTCAGGGTGGCAGAAATAAAGAAGGTGTACTCATTTCCTAGCCAGAGAGTCATTTACCTGCTTCTCCCCCAAGACCAGTGAGGCTGCCTAGAGCACCAAGGATCTTATGGAGACCTTTTGGGGATTTGACATACTGTTCTCCTTGAGCAAACTGTAGTCAAGCCCTCAATCCTCTTCTTATCTAGGCCTCAGCATTGGTCTACAAACTGTCAAACCCTCTGCACACATGATTTCATCCACGCTCCACACTAAGATACTTGAACAAACACTAGAACAATTTCTAACAGCTCAAGGCCATGACTCTGCGATGACCCCAGCTCCCTTAAAGCTCTTGCCTGAGAATGTTCAACACGGTCAAAAGAATTCACTGTTTGTTTAAGCCAAAACTTGACTATAGGCCTCTGACCTCCCTTTTCTTAGAATATTTAGGTTAGAAAACTTACAATTGCAAATCTCTTCTATGTCCCTTTGAGATGTAGCTTCTATAACCCTGAAATGTCTTTCTCAAGGATCTTGGAGTCATCGCTTCGAAATATATTCATCAAGAAGGATAGGGCCCTGTCTCCATGTCTCTGTGGGAGCATAGGAGCCTAATACAGGTGGCCCAATCACATTGACCAGCTTCCCTTCCCCTCAACGACTTTCAGTAATTATGTTTCCCATGCCCCAGTGTTTAAAAAAGTCTAATGCTTTTTGTTTCAGCAGAGCTGAGCTCAGTTTATACTGAAGACTCTCTTTCCTACTGCAGTAGCTTGAATAAAATCAGTCTCGCCACTTTTAACAAATGCCCAGCTCTGTTTCTCTCTGACAGTTTGAGGATGACTCATTTGTGGCCAAGTTGCTAAGTTGTCATTTGAAGGGAAAGAACACAATGCAACAGCTCCTGAGGGCTGCGTGGTTTGCAAAGTGGACATTCTGCAGTGACTCTACACCATTCATTCATTCTTTATTAGCTAAGGGCTTGTTGCAGCACAACAGACAGGGGAGGTGAGTTCAGAAAACAAACTCCAACAGCTTTTTCTTATGTGTGCACACATCTAGTTCGGCTGGTTCAGCTACTTTTCACAACGGGGCACCAATGTCCTCATTCCTCTTTTTGATCAAGCAAGAAAAGGAGCAGGTGACTACAGTAGGATGAGGCTGCAGAATTCCAGCACAGGCAGTAGTGGCAGTTGACCCCCATACCTCAGAAAAATGAGCCCAAGGGCCATTCTGGTCAGGCATAGTTACAGATGTCCACTGGTGACAAACATCTGGGCAAATCAGATCATCTGCAACAGTTTCTCAGCCATAGCACTGTTGGCATTTTGGGCCAGATAATTTTTATTGTTAGGGGCTGTCTTATGTGTTGTAGGATGTCTAACAGCATCCGTGGCCTTCTACCCACCAGATGCCAGTACCATCCCTCCCACTCCATTGTGATAACCAAAAATGTCTCTAGACATTGTCAAATGTCCCACTGGGGGCAACATTGCTCATTGCTTCTGGTCAAGAACCACCAATCTATAGGAAATGTTTGGGACTTTCCCTGATTTTGTCTTATTTCCCAAATGTTTCAGAAGAGTATATTTTTGCGTTCTATGAACTTTCTTTGAGAGATGTTATGAGTTTGATTTTGATTAAGAACAAAGTATTTTTGCTTCTGATGTTTTCTATTGGTACCAGCATTATTCAGCTACCCTAGGTTCTCTTAAGCCTGGACCACATTCATTATATATGTCTATATCTATATGTATCAATCTGTTTTTTGATTGATCAATAGATATACATAAAGATATATAACAGGTATATACCTTATCTATCTATATATCAGACCTATTATATATATACCAAAATATCTTCTACATCTGTATGTAAGCCATGGGAACAGCCAGCTTTCTTCCACATAGAAGCTCTATAGGTGCCTTTTATTCCTGGGCCTCTACTTTTTCTGGCATCATACTGTCAATGCTTTGGCATTCTTTTCCAATCTCTCTTTCATCCTGACTCAAATACCACTATTCTTTCCTTCTTGACAGGTGTTCAGTCTTTCCAGGATTAGAGTCCCAGATGCAAAACCCCTTGATTGGCATCCTGCCTTCCACCCTTCTTGGAGCATCTCCTTCCATGCCCAGTACCCAGAGTGATGCGGTTCCTATTCAAAATTCCTATTTGCTTTTCCATTTTCCTTTTCAGATGTTCACCCCAGGAAGTCTGAAATAAGACATACTGCTTTTCTTGGTCACAATAAGACATGGGCTGGTGTCTGTGGGAGTGTTCCAGTCTGCCTTCTGGCTTGACAAAAGGAAATGGGATGACAAAGAATGTGGCTCCAAGGAGACTTACCCATGTAGAAGTACAGGTGCTGCTTTTCATAGTTGATGAATTTGATTTTCTTCTTGCCATACTGAATGGAGAAAGAATAAATGTTGGATAACAGACAATACTTCGGGCTATTACACACAAGGACATCTGTTTGTGTGTGTGTGTGTTTGTATGTGTGTGTGTGTGTGAGTGTCTAAAATCTCTATGGAAAGAGCTATCTGATCAGAGTTCACTGGCAGTCAAATTTCTGGCACTAGATGAACCAGAACTGGAACTGGAGGGAATATTGTGACATCTTTTCATTTTAATTAAATGTGGAAAATTCTTGCATGGATGGTTTATTCCATTTGACTAGGTGGATTGCAATCATTTTTTTTTTTATTCCCATGGAAACCATTTTGAAATTTTTTGTCCTCATGTGGAGTGCAGTGGTGATGGAGAAGAAATATTTCTGGTGATGTTCTAACTCTTCTTAACTGTGGTGTTACAATTCTGCCTGAAGCTCAGTCTCCATCTATATTCACTTGTTCAACAGATATTATTGTATGGTCATGTGATAAAATATACAGGCATGGCCCCTCCTATCTGTCTCATCTTTCCTCCTTTATATTCTCATCATGGATCTCATGCTGTGATTTACTATTTATAAGGCATGATGATATTATATATAATCTCACTACTGGGAATTTGATTCATTTTCTAGGGGTCTCCTTAGTTAATTCAGTTTGTGCTTAGTACGCAAAGACAGCAGCAAATATCCTGAGAGAAAGCATCGAAGTAATGATCATATCTTCAGTAACTAGCAGACACTCAATCAATGTTTAATTGAAGGAATGAATGAATAAATAGTAATTCACATTTGCTCTGTAGTTTTGCTGTGTTCACTCAGTTACAACACCATGGGTGGTGTCTGACTCTTGCTTTCCTCATTCCTTTGATGCCTTCTCTCCTACATATAGATTTAATCTCTTATTTGGATAGTAGTGTTTTTCCTTCCTTCTCTTATTGTCATAAATAAAAAGATATCATGGTGACAAATTAATAATAGCTATTTGCAGTTACTTCAAACTTCCAAATACTGAAGTAGTGGGAAACATGGAAGACAGAGTAGGCAGAAAATGCTGCAGAGTTGACAAACCTAGGTGAAGGACTGACTTTGAGTATCACTGCAAAGGAGGACTCTGAGTCTTCCAGTTTCCCAAGATCTTGCACATAGAAGATTTAATTCATGCTTGTCAAAGGAACGAATGTTTGAAGAAAGTGATAGAACGATTGGCAGTAAAATGAGAAGGAAGGAAAAGTTCAGGACTCACCAGAACTATTTTTGATGGGAAATAACTCAATTTTAGAGTTTAAGTAATTTTAAGTAATGTCTTGTATGGTTGTTTTGAAACTATATTATATAAAACCCTAAGGTTCTAGGGATACACGCCAAGAGCAGCTGTAAAACTTGGCTGAGGTGGCCTTCATCATTTGTGAAGAGACAGCATCATACTGAACATGGCTCTAAAGAAAGCACTCCTGGAGAAGGTCAGGCTGCTTCATGAACTTCAGGGACACAAATCTCCCTTGCTCTGGGGGAATGATCAGAGAAATCAAAACATTGTAGCTTTAGAGATGGGCACAGCAGTCCACAGACATCAGAGAGGTCCAAGTTGTGTGTGGAGCCACTGTCTAAAGCAAGTGATTTGTGATCACAGCCAAAGACTTTATTTTTAAATCTAGGCAAGACATTTTGTTTCCTAATTCAGCTGAGGAAGAGGGTAAATTCCTCAAATCTGGGACAACCTATTTTCAAAAAGTTGCACAATTTTTGGTTAATGTACCATAAGGCTTGGGCAGCAACTAACAAAACTACATTCTTTTATTTTTATGAGACTCCTAAATTCTTCTAGAAAGACACAGCAGCCTCTTCCTAAGTACCTGATTCTCAAGATTCATCATTTCCCCTTGAGGAGAGACACTTCTGTGGCTGTCCTTATACCTCCTTTGTTTGAGAATTCTCCCTCCTAAGAAACTTGGTGATTGTCCTTTACGTGATGACTTTAAGTTGAGGTTTTAAAAACAATCAAAAAGTGAAAATTTCTGGAGTTGACTTTTCCCCTGCATTTTCTCTTGTTTCAGAAGTACAAATTGGAGGTGGGGTCTCTAAGTGACTTACAAGGCATTTGGGCTGTGGTTCATGTATAAATAAACCAAAATGAACATGAACTATAAGAGCACAGTCTCTTCTAACCGAGCTGGAATTAGTTGAGATAACTAGATATTTAGTTGTTTCTGGTTTAGCACTTATTGAATATACTGACCTGTGTTCTCTGAGTGTCTCCATATGCTTGTTAAACTTTGGAGAGTCATTGCCAACCTCAGTCACCTAGTTTCACTATCTAACATTAGCTTGGGTTGTCTCAGAGGTAGTGGCAGGCACTGTGCAGGGATCCCTCTGTCACCAGGATAGCTCAAGCAGAGTGATGGGTTATCCTATTTCCTACTGTAGGAGGTTCGACTAAGTGACCTTTAAGGTCATAGAGACATGCAATCCACATCTCCTTCTATTCTTACAACTCCAGATTCAGTTATTTCAAATCTGTAACCTGGGCTTAAAAGAAGGAGCGGTGCCCTCAGAATATGCTTGACGCTGGAATCTCCAGCTTGATCTTTCTAAGACAAGGCTGTGGGCTATTCCAAGAACCACTTCCAGGAACATTTCTCTGCTGCCCATGATTTCTAAATGTATCTCGACAGGTTGCACATCTCCAAGCAGAAAAAGTGGACTCAAATCAACATCTGGGTCTTTGGAGTCAATGTTCGGTTTTACATGATGCTGGAAGTGTTCGTGATTCCACAAGTTTCTTGACATGCCCTGAGAAGAGAGGGATCATTAGCTTCACAGTTTCTCCTGAAATCTCCTCCACTCTCAGAGTTTTCTGCGTGCATCTCCAGAGTCAAAATAAGATATTTGAGCTTCTCAAACTTGTCCCCACAGCCGGGTCACAGAATGACTCACTGGATGGAGGCTTTCAAAGTGTACAAACAAATAATTATCTGATTCAGGAAGATAAATTCAACCTAAAACAACTCTTGATAATGAAAAATCATTAAAACCTGTTGAAATAAAATGCTTTTCCATCCTTCTGTTTTTTGATTCTCATTTTTTAAAAAATCTGAAGGTAGGTGGGGCAGAGAGTATTCTTCCTATTTTACACATAAAGAAACCTCAGCTCCAAGACTTTAATTAGTTCTGGAGAAAAAAATTGACTCGTAATATTTAAAAATCCTACTTCAATGAATATTTCAAAGAATTATACATCTGAAGTGATCTCCTATGGGGGCTTGGCTCAGATCATTGCATGAAAAGGCTTCAATGCTCTCATATAAAAATAAATGAGGGGCCAGCCCGGTGGCGTAGCAGTTAAATTCATGCATTCCGCTATGGAGGCCTGGGGTTCGCAGGCTGGGATCCTGGGTGCAGACCTACTACCCGCTCATCAAGCCATGCTGAGGTGGCATCACACATAGAAGAGCTACAACTCTACAACTATGATATACAACTATGAAAAAAAAATAAATGAGAATATAAATATTTCAGCTGATGCCAAGCTTGAATCATCTCTGATGAGATTGTTTGTGGTTTTATCTCTCTTAAGGAAAGTCTGAAGGTCTTAATAGAGCAAATGATTTAGAGGCACATCATCCCAATTTCATATAGTAGATGTGTAAATACTACTGTGTGGTTTGGACAAATTATCCACCCTCTTTGAGGCTCCATTTCAACTCCAGTAAATATAGTATAAGGACATATACCTCCATGGGTCGTTTGGGGACACATGAGAGGCTTATGTTAAATGTTGGCACATTGGAATATTTAATTCCCCCTCCGTTCTCCAATTATGTTAATCACTTACAGAAGAATAAGTACCAGTAGTAGTTTTTTACTGAGTATTTAGCATCTCTCAATAACTGGCCTATACATGTTTTAGATCCACACTGTCCCAAACAGTAGCCACTACCCACATCTGGCTATTGAGCCCTTGAAATGTGACTAAATTAAGATAGGTTATAAGTGTATAATACGTACTAGATTGTGAATACTCTGGATGAAAAGAGAATATACAATATCTTATTAATAATTTTTATGCTGACTACACGTTGAAATAATATTTGAATCTATAAAGGTTAATAAAGTTACCTTGTAAAATGTGGCTATTAGAAAATTTAAAGTGACTTACGTCATTTAAATGTGGTTTGCATTATATTTCTGTTGGACTATGTTGACCTATTCATCTATGGTAGAGGGGTAATGAGTATGTTTGAAAATCTAGAAGTATTACCTTTCCATAGTCTTCACTGAGTCTTCTCTTAGCAACCCACACTCCTACCCCAGTCCATCAGGAGAGGTATCTTCTCACATCCAGCACACCCTAATATCCTTACAGTGGAATCTGTCTCCATCCAAGATCTCTCTCTTGAATCTTATGCTTGAATGGGCAGTCGCTTTCCAAACATTTCCTTTTGGATGTCTCATGATATTTCAAACTCAACATGTGCTACTCAATTTCTATTCCCCCTTCTGGGGCTCCGCACTCCACACTCAGTACTTCTCCAATCAGATTGCATACCACCCACTCACTCTTAAAATTGTGTATTCACTCATTTATTCACCCATTCATTATTTATTTTGAATTCTATCCCATGTGTCAGACACTGAGCTAGGCATTTGGAATATAGAGATAGACATGATAAAATGGTGTTCCCACTCTTATGAAACATACAATCTAATGGGAGTAGTAGGCAATTAAACAAGGACACTGTGATAAGCAGTGATTCTCTTTTTCAATTAAATCCTCTGAGAGCCATCATTTGGCTTCTTCCACCAGCTGACGGGACCCTTTTTGCTAATGACTAACTGTGGAAATTGCTAATGTGAGCGCCAGGTTTTGATTCATGATAGGTTGGGGAGCAGATCTTGACAGGTCACGATCCTGAAGCTTAGAATAGTGGTCAGAGTAATTACCGGTGTGATCTAAAGCCACTGGCTCCACCATGGCCCCTCTCTCTGGAAGCCACTATTACTGGAGACCAGAGAGAGAGTGATCTACAAGGAAGTACGGATTATCAGCTACATGCAAATTAGGCCGCCCCTGCACCAAGTTCCATACAGAAACTACCCTAAGTCATTCCTTATTTCCACGGTAGGTCCTTTCTTGGCTCAGTATAAAGAATCCCAGACTCTAGACTGAAACCATCCTGAATTTAAATCCCTGCTACTCGGGCCGGCCCTGTGGCTTGGTGGTTAAGTGCACGCACTCTGCTACTGGCAGCCCGGGTTCGGATCCCAGGCGCGCACTGATGCACCACTTGTCTGGCCATGCTGAGGCGGCGTCCCACATACAGCAACTAGCAGGATGTGCAACTATGACATACAACTATCTACTGGAGCTTTGGGGAGAAAAAGGGGGAAAAAAAAAGGAGGAGGATTGGCAATAGATGTTAGCTCAGGGCGGGTCTTCCTCAGCAAAAAGAGGAGGATTGGCACAGACGTTAGCTCAGGGCTGATCTTCCTCACCAAAAAAAAAAAAAAAAAAAAAGAAGAGTAAGTGACTAAAACAATGATTTAAAAAAAAATAAATCCCTGCTACTAGGTGTGTGGCCTTGGGCAATTTCCTTATCTGTAAAATGGAGGAGGTTACTGGAAGGATTATGGGAAATAATATGCTTGACACTCCTCCCCCCAAAAATGTTTTAAGATGTAGTCATGGAAACAGTATTGGCCAGATGTACACGGAAAGGCTTAATTTCAACTACTCTCCTCTTTATCCCTATGATAACACTTGATTCTTATAGTTTTTGAAATATACACACTGGGGGGGAGCTTGATAAATATGCTACAGGGAGTCCATTTTGATTTTCACATGGCACACAGGTCCAAAATGTATGATATTTTGTAGTTGATTTTCAGAAGGGCTCTTTTATTGTGCAAACATTGCAAAGATCAGAACACGTATTTTTGGACCACTAGTGAATGAAAATTCTAAAGAATCCCAATATCTGTGCCTTTTTGGGGCGAGAGTAAATTGACACGAAATCAAGTTTTGGAATTTACAATTGAGATGCATGTATAAGGTGGAGATATTGATCTTTATGTCTTAATTTTCTTTGTTACCTTCCTCCTGCTCACTTTTCCTTCCCACAGGTAATTTTCTCTCCTGCACATAGCTGAAGCTTATATTAATTTTGCTCACGAATTACTGGTTGTGTCTGCAAAAGGCAGAGTTTACTTGATTTGCTTTCAGAGCTATTTCCCATTTATTTATTCTGTTCACAAGTCATTAAAGTTATATTTATTTCAACTAGTGCAAAATTATTTCTAGAGACACAATTTGTATAGATAGGGCTGTGTACAAATTTGAACCAGTAGCAAAACTGATTTTTTTAAACAGCATCAGCAAGGGTAGAGCTGATTTGCAATATTCTATACACTGGTCCCAAACCAACTGCCAATTACCTCTAGGGCAGATGAATCTCACTGACTTCCTCAGAACAGGGGAGGGAGGTTAGAAGTGTCCATTATCTGAATCTCACAATGACATAAGAAACCCTCTCTGCTTTATTTCTTTGATAATGATTTCTGAGTGAATCCAGACATGCTTCATCTATCCAACACTGGTGGATAGAGGGCAGAATAGTGTGCCTGCAGAAATTTTCTGGTTAAATGAATCTTGTCACGTATAAAGACAATGTATTATTCATTTTAACCATTTTGAGTGACAGACATATTTCTAATATGAATCCAGATCCAACCCTGTGTTATTTAATCTACTTAAGCTTCAGTTTGCTCAACTGCAAAAAGAGTAGATAAGACGACTAGGTGATTCTAAGATATTTCCAATTTAATGATGCTGTGATTTATGGTCTACTTACCTATCTTCTTAGAAAGAACACAATTGAACATTTTTCTGAATAATTCTGGGTCCTCATTTTAATTAGGGAAAGATTGTTCCTAGTAGCGGTAACATCTAACAGTTATTGAGCATTTCCCATATGTCAGGCTTTGTGTTCAGCACAACACATGAATAACACATATAATCCTAACAACATCCCTATCGAGTTGAAGCCATCATCTGTCTCCATTGTAGAGCTAAAGAAACTGAGGTTCATAGACATTAAGTAACTTCTTGCAAGTGACCCAGCTAATTAGTGGCTGAGTTCCCACAGAAAGCAGGTCTGTCATTAGAGCAACAGGTCGCAATCCTGGCTGCAGGTTAGAATCACCTGAGGAGCTTCAAAACAGTGTTGACGTCCAGAACCCACCACTGATGTATTAAATCAGAACCTCTAGAGGTGGTACCCTGGCAGCAGTGTTTTCTAAAAGCTCTTCCAATGACTGTAAATGACAACCAGAATTGAGAAGCCAGAATGACTGCTCTGGAGCCTGGTGATTTAATACTGTGCTCTGATTTCTCCCACTCATCAGCTTATGGACATTGGATTAAATAGTTAATTAACTCCTTTGAGCATCAGTCTTGGCTGTAAAATGTGGGTGCTACAATCCCTCATCTCATGAGCATCATATGAGACAATTGCCTAAAGGGGCTGGTTCTGAACCTGGCACTTGGCAGGCTCTCATCTACTGTGAATTCCCGTCTGCCTTTCTCATCACTTGCTGTCAGTAGTTTCTGCTCACTGTTCTGTTGGTCTGACTCCAGCATTTCCTTCACTCTCTTATTAGTTGGCCACTTTCAAGTCACTAGAGGCTAGGGAACCAGATAACCAGGAATATATCTATTTTCTCCTTAAATGAAACTTCTCACATAAAATGACAATATATTATCCATTCTACCCATCTGAGGGACAGACATATTTCAAATCTGAATCTAGATCCAACTCTGTGTTATTTAATCTATTTAAGCCTCAATTTGCTCAACTGGAAACAGGGGTAGATGAGACTAGGTGATTCAAAGAGTCTTCCAATTCACTATGAAACCAGCACATTAAGGAAAATCAAATATATTCTGAGTCAGTGCTATGAGTTTTCCTAAGACAGTCTGGCTTGAATGTAAGGATTTGGCTTACTGGAAGGCTCAGAGGTATTCATCCCCCACTCCACCCCTGTCTGGGCCAGAGTTTACAGTCACCAAGTCCTAGAATGTCATAGAAAAAGCAGAGATCCAATTTAATTCCTAATATTAGAGATGAGAACATTGAGGGCCAGAGATAGTATGTGACTTACTCATGGTCACATAGTGAGCATTATCAGAGCTGGGGGTAGAAGCCACTCTGGCGCAGTCCTGTAGTGTTACCTTGTTTTATTCATTCATTCAACAAATACTTATTGAAGGCCTACTGTGTGCCAGACACTCTGCTAGGTACTGCATTGCAGTTGTCTATAGGACAGTGTCCCTGCCCTATTGGAGCTTAAATCACGGGAGAATAAGATCAACTACCATAATCCTCACCTGGTTTTTCCAGTAGTCTAGGTATTGCAACCTCGACTCTTGAATAGAGCCATCTGACCTTGCCCATTCTTTCTCTTTCTCTTCACTTGTATATATCTTCCTTCATTTTCTCCTTTATTTCTTCATAGCTCTACCCTTCCAGAACTAATCAGGCTTGCTGGATTCCCCTAGTTTTCCAATGATAAATGTCCAGACCCCTTCTAAGAATATTCCCTCTCGTGATTTTACAGGACACATCTTCATTCCTAAAGACACAATCCTTCTCTCGTGAGGTGATTCCTTAATGTGGTGCCAGGGATTGGGTGAAATAGTTTATTGGGGTAAAACTTCTTAAAGAAAAATAAATATTTTCCTCATAAAATTCTAATTTTAGCATATATATTATAACGTTACATATTAGTATATACGTAATATCTACATTGCTAGTATATTTACATTTATTTGTGGGGTTGTATAAATATTTTGTGTTGATACAAGTGCCCAGTCAAAAAACTTGGAAACCACTACCTTAGGAAATGCCATTCAAGAATCTCATCGTAATTCCTGAACATCCCGTACCTTGAGGTGACCCATCACAAATTTGTGCATCAGGTGGTTCCACTTGGATTGCTTAAATATGGATAGATGGCCCGCGTCATGTTGCAAAAAGGAACTTTGAGCCTACAAAAGACAAAGTTTTTGTTAGAGAAATTGGGAAGTCAATAATAAATTAATAAATTAGCCTGCTAGTAGATTCAGGAGCCCATTTGAGAAGAACAGTGAGAAATCTCGTCTGACCTCAAGCTAAGTTTACTTTCTATTTCCCACACATGTTGCGTTCTTTCCCACTTCTGTACTTTTGTAAAGGTGGTTCTCTAAACCTAGCATGCTCTCCTTACCACTCTCTAATCTTGCAGTGCGGGGTGGAAAGAGCATAGCTGTGAGGTCAGGCAGATTTGGGTTCTAAACTGTTCTTCACTACTAACGAGTTGCACGACTCTTGGCAAATTATCAATAGCTCTGAACCTCAGTTCTTCACCTGAGAAGCAGGGATAATATACCTTACTCATGGAGCTGTTACACAACTTAAATAAATGTAAAGCATCTGGCTTATGCTAAATACTGTGATAGATCAGAATTGGCTACTTCAAAATTTGTCTCTTTACCTTGATTATTTTCTCTGAAAGAAACTTTGACCTCCTCCCCCACTAACAGCCTACAAGACTTTGACTCTAGGTATGGATAGACTGGGAGGGTCCTTGCTATGCCCATTCCATGTAAAAGTAGAAGTTATCCTTTGTAAGAGACATTTACATTTATAAGGGAAATCTCCATTTGTACAGATATCTCCCTCTCTGTACCAGGAAGAAAGGGGGATGACCTCATCTCTAGAAACTCTTATCAGTGATGAAGGTGAGGACTTAAATCTGCATACTCTTGTTTACTGTGCTTTCTGGTAATCTCTCCTAGCTGACTTCCCCCACCCCCAACATCCTCCTTTGTCCTTACCTGAATCTATTTAAAAAGAGCACATCTGCCATTTTGTCAAGATACTCAGTTACCCAGTGGGCCTCTCCCATGTATACATGTTATAAAGCTTTGTTTGATTTTCTCCTGCTATTCGATCTCATGTCAATTTAATTTGTAGCCCAGCCAGAAAAGACCCAGAGTGGGTAGAGGATAGTCTTCCTCCCCTTCAATACCAAACAAACGTTTGTTTTCTTTCTTGTTTCCAAAAGTTGCTTTTTAAGGAATAAAGCAAGTTAGCATTTCAAGAAAAAAATTAACGTATAAAATTCGAGAATTAACAGTGATGTTAATTCTCATAAAACCTTCCCCAACTCTTCCAATTAGAATTAAATGCTTCTTTCTGCTCCAACAGTGCATGCTTGTTCCTCTCCTCAGCATCAGTGTCATTCTGTCTTACAGTACATTTAGATATTTGAATGACAGTCTCCTCCAGTGGATGACTCACTTTCCAAGGGCAGGGACCAGATGCATTTGCCTTTATGTCTACAACACAGTATTATGTTCACAGAAGGCCATGCTCAGAGATTCATACTTTATTCAACAAGGATTTATCAAATGCCCTGATATGTGTCAGTTGCTGCTTGTCACTTATGGCAAATCCATACATTCTTAATCCTCATATAATAAGGTGTAGTCTCCACTCTTGAAGAATTCGTGGTTTGATGCATTGATAAATGCTGGTTGGTAAATGAATGAAAGATAACGATGAATGTTACCTGGCTGAGAACAGAACTTCAGTTACTGAAGTTGTATGGGTAAAATTGGGCAAAGAGTAACAACTGTCACAAACTAAATATTGACCATATATCCTAGGTGTTTTACACCTTAACTTGCTTCACCCTCCTCAGAATATTTCCATGAAAAATTTTTTTATCCACATTTTGCAGACCAGAGAACTGGTGCCCAGTGAGGATTGGCAACTTGCTTTTGTGAGTCACTGATGAGCAGCTTGCCAAGAAGTGTCAGGGAGCAGCTGACACCAATCCAAAGAGAGAAGAAAAAATTCTGAGGCTTCCCCAGAAACCCCTGCCTGGGCTTAGGATACCTGCTTACCTGAGAAATTGTGAGAAGAAAGGAAATGAATATTGTAATAGGCCAACCACTGCCAAAATACCACAGCATTAGCCAGGCAAGGGCTTCCAAAATCAAGATCTGGGCGAGGTGAAGGAAGAAGAACCCCAGATTGGTGTTGAACATATTCATAGCCTCTAACTTCCTCCGCAATTCTTGGAAATCTTCCATCAACTGGGACTGCAAAATAAATATTCAAGCAAGGAATTAGTTCCCTCAAGAGTAAGGGAGGACAAATTAACATAATGAATAATATAGTTTATTAACTTATTAATGCCTTAATTTTATGAATAGAAATTTCTTCACATTAATAAATTTATTGAGCAGAATTAAAAATGAATAAACAGTGAACAAACCTTTGAAGAGTTTATGAGAATTGTTTTTCCCTCTGGAGTAGAGAAAGATGTGTAGTGACTTATAAACTGTCCTCAAAGTGTTATGGAATTCAGTTGGTATTAGTTTCTTTTTCTCAGTGAGGGGTGGTCAGTAAAGAGAGACGTAAGTCTAATAGTGATCTTTTAAACCATCGGTATTATATCAGACGTTGATTTCTCTGGTTATGTTTTCGAGAACCCTGTTGTCTATATGGATCTGCATTACTGTAGTTAGTGGTAAAGTTCAAAAAGTGTTTTCAGTGCCATCAGCTGTTTATATGGATCTCCAGAAACAACACATGATCTCTGGTGACATTAGTTTGTGTCTGCTGGTTGGTGGGGTCCTGGTCCTGTGTACATGTACTGTGTGTATATTCATGTATGTGTCTGTATAAGGCTTGTATTGGTTTACAAGCTTGCCACATTATAGTGGAGAGTCACTGCAAAGGCTGAGAAGAAATCTCTCTTAGCTTAATGAGTATAATGGGTTTAAAATCAGGAGAGTTGAGAAAGTGACCAGGGTATAAGAAAGAGAGCAGGATTGTTCAGATGTAAGTAAGGGGAGAAATCTGAAATAAAAAAAGAAAGAGCTATGAACATAGTTCTAGAAGCCAAAAATTTTATTCAAACTTTGTTGATGCAACATTTTAAGTATTCACTTCTGGGAAAAGTCTGGATGGGCTCATCTCTCAAGTCCCCATCAACCCTGGAATTCTGATAGCCATAGATAATTTTAAGAGGTCAACTCTAGAGTGCCTCGCAGCCTGATCATATTTTCCAACCCCTTTATTGTAAAAAGAGCAAGGGGTCACCAAAGCCCAGAAAAGCGACAGGTATGAAATCATCAGCAAGACAGTGACAGATGCTGGACTTAAACCTATACTTCCTGATACCCAGTTTAGTGCTCAAATAGAAATTGTATTTATATGTATCTATATATA